AGAGGTGTTTAGGGTATCTTTTGAGTGGAAAATGGTTTGCACTATCTAGTATAAGTTGTTTGCAGTCTTCATACTTCCGAATGGAAAACTTGACCTTCACTTGTTGGTCAACTAATATGTCTCCATCCTCATTGACCCAATGTAGTTGGTAAGGTTTAGGATGTGGGATAGTAATTAAACACAACTTCTCAACCAACCCAGTGTTACAACAGTTGCACCATGAGTCACTATCTACAATGAGAGAACATGCTTTGTTTGAAACATTGCATCTTGTATGAAAATGTTCTCTCTTTATGATAGAGTACCACTAGGTTGATTGTTAAGGAGTCTCTTAATCATTAGAAGTTCTCCTTCATAAGGATAAACCAACTCCACATTAGACTCTTGCTTTATTGTTTCATCCTCACTCTCACTTGAAGAGGAGGTAGTAGTCTCTTCTTGACTACTATAAGTGTCATGCCCATCAGACGATGGATAATCTAAGAACGAAGCATCCTAGACAAAATTAAAAGTCTTTCATCTACATTGTTGACTAGACGAAAGAAAAATTCAAAGTCTATCTGATGGAATAACACTAAGGCCAAGAAGACCAAGAAGTGATATATTGAAGGAGGCAAGAGGAATGGGTTAGTGTTGAAAAATCATAGGAGGAGTAAGCCTACTTTTGGGACTTAGCTCTTAAGTTTTTATAGCATTTATTTTTATTCCTATTTTTGCCCTTGTCTTTAATTTCCTATTTTACCCTTGTATTTTGGAGTATCTTAGTCATAGGATTTATTTTCTTTTGTATTTCCCATTTTACCCTTGTATTATGGGGTGCTTTAGATCATAGGTTTTTAATTTTGGGCTAAGGTATTTAATTAGGGAGCTAGACACATTTTTCGTGGTGTTTGGACCTATTTTTGGACTTAAAAAGGCTTAGGCCCAAGTGGAGGGCAAAGGTTGCATGGTCTTATCATGCACCTAGATGTAGCCTAACTAAACCCAAATATTTCATACTTGGCCACCAAGTTGAATCTAGGATTAATTTGGGTTTCATTTGGAGTGCATTTGGCACCCTAAATGCAACCCTAGATGCCTCCCACTCCTATAAATACCCTAGACAGCACACCTTGTAAATACTTTGGATATTGAATATAAATAGAGCCTTTTGTGCCTTTATATCTTTTCTTAGTCACCCTTGGCTAATTCGGCCACCTCCCTCCCATCTCCACCTTGAGAGAAACAATCCTAGAAGTGGCCTTCATCATCATGAAGTGAGCCAACCCTAGAGTACCCTTCTCAAGCATTTCCTCAAACACCGTCTACCCAACCTCCATTTTCGTCCATTCCATCATCATCCACCCTAAAACCTTGGTCCACCTTTGAAGAACTTGATCCTTGGAGAA